AAAAAAAAACAGTGCGGTCTTTTGCATTGTAATGCCGTGTAGTTCGGAAAAGCCCGACTTTCGGACGAAAATATTACTTCCATCTTCACTGTCGAAGAGCAACCAGAACTTGCCGACGGCTTCTTGCTGCTTTCTTGCTTAGCGTAAGAAGTTTCTCCGAAACGTCGAGCTCTCTCCAAACTACACGGTGTTACAACCCAGTCGACAGTTCTCTTCATACAATTATGTGAACCTTAGGTCCAACAAAACAACGAAAAGTTTGTAAAACGTGCCGCTCCATAGAAGGCCGTTTGGTTCACTAATGCCGCCGCCGAGTTCTGTATTATTCAGCATGAAATTATAAGGTGATTAGTCGATAATGGACTGGAAAGGGGCGATGGCCAATCACGGAATTTGCCTGAAGGGACTGAGGAAAACAACGAGAAATCTCAGTCAGGATAGCCAGTCCCTGGGCCGTGATTTTAATTCGGAGCCCTGCCTAACACGATGTTCCGTGGGAGCGATCACTTTCTGGACGGTGAGCGAGAAATGAAATGTTTCTGGTCGTAGCGCCGCATCAAGTTGTGAGGATCATTCACACGATATGCATTCCCTTCCCAGTGCGACATGTTGTAGCCTCCACATGCCATTCGCAGACCTTTAATTGTTTGAATACTGCGCAACATGTTCCTTATATTAAGGCCTACACAATTAGTAAGCCTGTAATGTAAAAGTAAGTAAAGTAAAGGTATCCCTGTAACAGGCCGTGGAGGCCCATAGGGTTCTGAGACGTCGAGGTTCTCACATTTTCTAGACAGTCGGCTCATAGATGGCGGTGAGATTAAGTAAAGCTATCCCTGTGACAGGCCGTGGAGTCCCATAGGGTTGTGAGACGTCGAGGCTCCCACATTTTCTAGAAAATCGGATCATAGATGGCGGCAAGGTTGTCAGCCCTACGCGCCGGCCGCCCTTTGAACCCAAGAATATTCCTGGTACTCATTTCTGTTAGAGACTGAATCGACTCCCAGGGCCATAGTGCGGCTGGAATGATTAGGTCAATTGAAAAAAAAAAATCCAATGACCGCATCGGGACATGAACCCGCGACCTTCCGGCTTGTAGCATAGTGCCTCAACCAACTACGCTACCGCGTGCCTCTAATGTAGCCTACTGAATCCACTGGCATGTTAATTTTGTGTTAAACTTCAATATTATCCTTAAAATAGGCTATCGATTATCTGTCCGTGGATTTTGTGCTTTACGGAATAATCGTGCTCACCTCGTTGCAGCTTTCTGCTTTATAATTATCGCTCATAAAATCAGGCTACTACCAGTAAACACTTGTTTCTTCCGTTCGTCTTGCAGATCGGTGGCCGGTAGCATAACCAGTAAAGGAAAAGCTATCCTTGTAAGTGACCGTGGAGGCCCATAGGGTTGTGAGATGTCAAGGCTCCCATATCTTCTAGAAAATCGCCTCACAGATGACGGTGAGATAAGGTAAAACTATTCCTGTAACCGGACGTCTGGAGGCATAGGGCTGTGAGACGTCGAGGCTCCCACATTTTATACACAATCGCCTCACAGATGACGATGAGGTAAGGTAAAGGTTGTCTGGTTGTCTGGTCGCATAGGGTCGTCAGACGTTAAGGTTACCACATTTTCTAGACAGTCGGCTCACAGATGGCGGTAAAGTTGTCAGCTTACGAGCCGCCTGCCCTTTACCCCCTGGAAATATTCCTGGTACTCATTTGTGTTAGAGGCTGAGTCGAATCTAGGGCCATAGTGCAGCTGGAAAGATTAGGTCAATCAAAAAATCCAATGACCTCACCGGAAATCGAAACCGCGACCTTCCGGCTTGTAGCATAGTGTCTCAACTAAGTCCCGAGTACCCCAGGAGCACAACCAGTAACAAGTAATCAGTCATGTTCAGGGTTTAATGCAGTCTGAACAATTGGTCTTCAAGATATTTGGATTATCCGTTGTTTTTAATTATCTGTGCTACTGCTCTCTACAGCGGATAACTGAGAGTTCACCGTATATGTAAACTGATTAAAAATTACATGATTATTCATGCAGGCCGTAAACAGTATTGTCAGATACATAAGTCAATTGACGCAGAGCAATATGGGTTTCCTTGTTGATGAAATGTTCACATTACTGTTGTTCCTTATTATAACCCCATATGTTATTTTCCTTGCTTCGAAAGTCCAAGAACCTTGTCACTTTAAGTAAAAGATAAAATTTTCTCTGTGCGTAGTTACGCACCACTTCAAGAAAACTTGTTGGGGAGTAGCGGCACTGTACGGCTTCTCGTCCCGGCCGATTTACTCCTGGGAAAAACGCCATCGGTACCCTTGTATAGGAGACTGAGTGGGGCCCAGAGCCGGTCTAAACGCTGTAGCGTAGACACAAAAAAATCTTCCTCATGCAGGGAATCGAACCCAGGCCTTCCAGCCCGTAACGTGTCTCCTTAACCCATTTCTGTGGCACGTCAATATTTTTAAGGGGGCACATGTACGGGATAGCTCAGTCGGTATGGCGACGGACCTTGGCCTGCCTCTTGATAAAGTCCATCTTTTGGTTATGTAACTTCACATGGACCTTACCATACGTGTGCCTCGTGCTGTTCTCTGGCCCTACACTGGATCTCGCTGCCTTGAGATTTCTCTTTCTCGCCTGTAGTTTTGGAGGCTAAAATGTAGTTTTTCCTGAGTATTCCAATCTTGATAAGGGATACCACTGGCACAGGATCGCTTAACGTCTGTTCTGCAGGCATAGAAGATGGCCTCTTCATCCTCTTTTTCGTTGAATCAATCTCACACTGAGAGTGAGCACGGAGTATTTCTTCCGCCTTCAGCATCATCATCTGCAATAAACGCATCTCATCTCACAATTCAGCGTGGTGTTTTTCTTCGACATTAACCATTCTCTTCAGTGATTCCATCTTATTTTGGAAGTGAGCATAGTGTTCATCTCTCACCTTCGTAAAGTTATTCATTGAATACTTCTCATTGCGTATTGTGTACAGCTTTTGACCTTCCTTCTCCTGCACGTACACCAACTCTTCTCTCAACTTTAGCATGAAAGTTCCATCATCTTCCATCTACATCCTCAGCTGTGACAACTGGTTCTCTGTCTCCTTCTCATATCAGTTCCGCCGATATTTGTAATATAGGAGATACTGCATCATCAACGAAGTGAGAATATCGATTAGGCTGATGCACGGTAGGACAAAAATCTTCTAGAAAATTTGCGCATGTTCTGCGAAGCACCGCCATAAAATTTTCTAAGATGGCGTTATTTCCGTTTCGTTTACTGTGACCAAGTTTCCGAATGGGATCGATTCGGAAAATGGGATGGAAAGTAATAATCCATAGAAAGTATAAAGCATAATGTGATTCTGCTCGATACTGCCATCTGCCATCGTTCCCGACTTCATCCTTTACGTGTTTTTCAAGTCTTCAGAACAGATAATTCCGCTCTCTCCTTCCTGGTACGGATTTATGACACCAAATGTCACGTGATCGAGTGACTATAAAAGGGTCAAAGTCAGAATTACTTCATGACTGGCGGTTTACCGTCATTCAGTTCGTCTTGGCAGCAAGCCCCTTTAGACTCACAACCACATAACTGAACACTTCCGGTAATAGTCCTTACGAAGCATCCTCTCTAACGAGAAGATGGGCTTGTCTCTTATGAATATGTTTGACGTTTCGTCAAGTGTATGTATCGCACATATAGCATGTTATTACAAATTTTTCCTTTTGCACTATACACAAGGCCTTCTGTTAGTACAGGCTTTGCAAAACTAATCATGCCTAGCTTATGTATCTGATGCTATAACGGCAGGTTATTCACTTGAAATTCTTATTTCGCGGTCGTTGCCTAGCAACGGATCTACTTGCCACAATACCTTCCAACAGTGGAATAAAACAAAAAATGCAATTTAATCCAACAACTCAGTAACATAAATACACGTTTTCACTCATTACGGGCAAGCACGCAAAACACAATCAAAAGTAAAGGGATGCAAACACACAGAATACTTAACACACTTGTTCTCTCTCCCAGCAGTAAACGGCAGTAACCGTGCTGGCAAACTTGACGCCGGATGTAAACGGCTGACATCACCACGGTGTCCAATCACTGGTCCACGGCCTCCACGACATCCGCGACTGAGCTGTACTTTCGGATCCGTGGCAATACTGCATACCTTGCGATTTCTCGCATTTTGTGTTAAGTTGGGTATGTGACGAGATGGACGCATATTAAGGTGATTGTGTGTGTTGTTTCGTGGTGTTCTGCGCTGTTTGAATTATTATTATTATTATTATTATTATTATTATATTAGTATGCCTGCAATAGAAGTGAATCCTCCTACGGAAAATCATGAGAGCGAGACACCAACAACACAGCCCATTGTGGGTATTATTTATCCACCGCCAGAGGTGAGAAGTATCCTTAAAATTTGAAGAGACGAAGCGTAAGCTTTGAAATTATATTACCGTAATATTGTTTCGTGGAGGTTCATTATCATGTTAACACAAACTTGTTATTAGCCTTCATTTAACCCAGATGAATTCAGCTCATATCCTCATAACCTATTTATTTAAGATTCATTTTAATATTATATTTAAGCATCCTGTTGCACTCTACACGATAAATGACACAAACTCCGTCCTAAGTGCAAACAATATATATTTATATGTCTTTGATCTTGTTCTTTCTACACTACATGTTTCGGCCTCTATCGGCCATCATCAGGTGTATCTCTTAACGTTGCTGCCACACTGAACCCAGTCTAAAACTTAACATTTAAAAACACAATGTCACATTCTTCGTATTATCAACATCTACATCGTTGATATGTGTCTGGTATGTAGATTATGTTGCACACGTCAAACCCGATATTCTTGTAGTAGCACTCTAAAAATCTTTAGTTATGATGTTTTTAAAACCTTTTAAAATTTNTAGACATAGGGCGAGTAACCCTAAGAATTTTAAATTTTAAATTTAAAATTTAGAGAAAATTTTAAAAGCTTTTAAAAACATCATAACTAAAGATTTTTAGAGTGCTACTACAAGAATATCGGGTTTGACGTGTGCAACATAATCTACATACCAGACACATATCAACGATGTAGATGTTGATAATACGAAGAATGTGACATTGTGTTTTTAAATGTTAAGTTTTAGACTGGGTTCAGTGTGGCAGCAACGTTAAGAGATACACCTGATGATGGCCGATAGAGGCCGAAACATGTAGTGTAGAAAGAACAAGATCAACGACATATAAATATATATTGTTTGCACTTAGGACGGAGTTTGTGTCATTTATTCATTTTAATATTATCCTCTATTCCTACACTCTGAAGTGGTCTCTTCCCGTTTGGTTTTCAGACTAAAATTTTGTACCTATTTTTCATTTCCCATGCATTCTATGTGCCTCGTCTTTCTGCTCGTTTTTCTCGTCCACTTTCTCTTTCGATTGTGCTAATAATATTTTATGAAAAGTGCGAATTATGAAGCTCCTTATTATGAAATTTTCTTCAAGCATTTGTCGCTTTCGCCATCATAAGTCCAAATATTCTCCTTACACTCTGTTTTTTTTTTCAATACTCTTAATGCATGTTCTTCCCTTAAAGTAAGCATGTCACATCCATACAAGACAAAACAAAATTATATCTTTGTATTCTGTAATCTTTATGTGTTTAGATAGCAGATGGACAGCCAAAAGATTTTGAACTGAATGGTAACAAGCATTGTGCAAATGTAATTGCTCTTCATATCTGAGCGTATGTAATTTTAATGTTACTGTCCTTACAAAATATTTGAATTTGGCTGTATTTTCAGACAATTTATTAGCTGTTTTTATATTATGATTAATGGGCACTGGAGTGGTCTTTCCCCGGGGGCTAAAGCAGCCAGGACGTGAAGTTGACCACTCACCTCCAGCTAGTGCCAAAATCAAGAATTGTGGAGAGATACCTCCATTCTCAGACATATCTTCATACAAGCTGGAAGGTCATGGGTTCAAGTCCCGATGAGGTGTATTTTTGTCACTTTACCTAATCCTTCCAGCCGCACTATGGCCCTGGGCTCAACTCAGCCTCTAACAGAAAGGAGTACCAGGAATCTTTCTGGGGAGTAAAGGGTGACCGGCACATAAGGCTGACAACCTCACCGCCATTTGTGAGCTAATTGTCTAGAAAATGTGGGAACCTCGAGGTCTGACAACCCTATGGGCCTTTGTGGCCTGTTACAAATAACTTTACCTTTTTACCTTACCTTACCTAAACTGTATGTTTCCATCAAGTGCGCAGCCTCACATTTCCATTGTAGAGTTTATGTTCCTTGTTTATGTGGCGTACTAATATTTAATTTGCTATGATTTGCAGGTTTTAATCTGTGTCTTTAAAGAGTTGATACTGTTTTTTGAAGTTAATTATTGGTCTCTGTATAGAATAAAAAATTACTGAGTAGAACAGTTATAGAATCTGCCTCTAAATTTAAGGCAACAAGATAAAGATGAGTAGGAGTTTATATATTTAGACTAAATTTTGATGTAATATTGAAGACACATTTGACACTGTCAGTTCTATACACTGTTCATCATGGGTGAATTGATGGACAGCAGTGGCAAGTGTAACATTAGGCTTGGTCTGAATGTATGGATATGTGAATTTTAAGTCGCTAGTACGGGGCCAAGCTCGTTAGATGCTTCAGTTTAAATGGCATGTATTAACAGAAACACTTGAGAAAGATAAATAATTTTGTTAATTATTTGCACCATAAAAACTGGATAGCGTAGTTGGTATAGCAACTGGCTATGGGCTGGATGATCAAGGGGTAGGAATTCAAGTCCTGTAGGGTAATGAATTTTCTCTTGTTCACTTCCACCCAACCTTCTACCCATAAGGTACCAGGTGCTCTTTCCCCCGGGGTAAGGTGGCAAGGTCAAGAATATGTGGATCTATACAACTGCTCACGCCTACACCTTCACAGTGTAGTGTGTAATTAGTTAAGCACAGGGACTTCACCTTTACTTGCACCATGGACCTGGGAGACTGTATAAATCACATGAAAGTCTCTTCACTCCTCAGGACATCGGTATGTCACACTTGATGTCATGTATTGTCAGAAATGCTGTACTGATTGATTGAGAGCAAGCCAATGTAATCAACTAATAACATGCAAAGATTTGAGCTACAGACATATTTGCTGGTTTCCTTAACTGTTCTTCCACAGATATTGTTGACAAAACTGCAAGTTTTGTTGCAAGAAATGGCCCGGAGTTCGAAGCCCGTATAAGACAAAATGAAATTGGAAATCCGAAATTCAATTTTTTGAATTTTGGTGACCCTTATCATGCATACTATCAGTACAAAGTTAAGGACTTCCGTGAGGGGAGAGGTGAGTAATATGTTTGTTTACTCATGTAGTGGTAACTGGTTTGAAAAATGAGTCAGTGTGGTGTGGCCAAGGGAGACATATCCTTCTGCTATGTAAAATCTTTATGTTGGTCACAGTGAGATGAAAGCTGAAATTGTCCAATTTGAGGTTACCATGGCAGTCAATAGATGAATGTTAACATGTTGCATCTTTTATTTCTGTATATGTGTCTATTCTGTGAGTATTGATGACACAGTTTGTCCATAAGTCCTGTCTGGGTTTTGAAAAATTGTGGCACACAAACAAATTGAGCTAGCCACATACAGTTTGCGGCAAATCATAGTGAAACTCTGGAAGTTTTCTACTGACCTCACTATATCTTGATGTGGGCTCCCTTGGTAGCACTGAGAATGTCCAGACGGTATTCGAGCTCTTGCCTTGTTCTGTGGAGCATGTCCACTGGAATAGCGGAGAATGCATTCCTGATATGGGTCGTCAGGTCATCAAGTCTGTTAACTGGTGTTTGGAACACACTGCTCTTGACATAACCCCACAGGAAAAAATCCCAGTGGTGTTATGTCTGGTGAACTTGGAGGCCAAGGCAATTGGACCGTCTCTTTCCATCCATCTTCCTGCAAATGTTTTGTCTCTTGTGGGGTTATGTCAAGAGCAGTTTGTTCCGAACACCAGTTAACAGACTTGATGACCTGAAGACCTGTATCAGGAATGCGATCTCTGCTGTTCCAGTGGACATGCTCCACAGAACATGGCAAGAGCTCAAATATCGTATGGATGTTGTCCGTGCTACCAAGGGAGCCCACATCTAGGTGTATTGAGGTCAGTAAAAAACTTCCAGAGTTTCGCTATGATCTGCTGCAGACCGCATGTGGCTAGCTCAATTTGTTTCTGCGCTACAATTTTTCAAAACCCCGACTGGACTGCGTGGACACTGTATTTTGATGTGCATATGTGAAGTATAGTATACTCTATAAAGGAGGAATTTTATGATTGTTATTCATGGACGGTGACATTAAATGTCCACCTTGATATATCATTCATTAACCTTTAAGAGATGGCCATTTAAATTCCGGTAGTGGTAGCGGGACGGAGTTAATTTAAATGCCCGCCACTGTAGAGTAATAAAAATTGTAATCATGTTACTCAAAATGCTGTGATTTCTACAATTTTTGTAATAAACGAACGAAATAAACGCTGCTTTTATCTAGAAAGAATATAGAATCAGTTATTGTAATTTACCGATTTTAAAATCTCTTAAAATTTTTACACTGATGCCAAAAAAAATTTTCCCTCAATTTCGAACGTCTGTGCACAAAAATGCACACAGTTCCTGCACAAAACGTTTCTGCAGTCTGAATGCCTGCTGCTGACAACATTTTATAACTATGGCTTACGTGGCAACGGGCAGAAGTTTATGCTTGCGTTCCTCATTCTCCAGTTCGTAGCTTCCTTTCGGTATGTGCACGAGTGTGGGCGCAGTCTAATCGCGTTCAGACACACTGA